GCGATCAAGTACACCAAAAAGAAAAGTGTATACACATGTGAAAACTACAGCTGATCAGCGGGATTGACCCATATAAACTGAGGACAGTCCAAAGATGAGAAATCCTGACTTATCCCAACATCGTGGAATTGTCAGAAGCTAGTTCAGTTATCTTGTACTTCATTTTTCTTGTTCACTGGATAATGACAGTTATAGTTTTAGAGGGTTTAATGTGTAATCATAAGTTCAACCTTTCATAGAAGCAACTTTTTACATAAAGGATAGATGTAAGGAGAAATTTGAGCTGACCATTGGGATCGACCCTTTAGGACTCAAAGAAGACAGTATGCAGGGTTGTCTTATAACAAGAAATATTGCTGTCAGATATGATTTAACTTAACACCATGAAGGCTTGAAGCTGTCAGAAATTATTTCAGCTTTCTTATACTTCATTTTGGTTCATTAGGACGTACATGTAACATGACTGTTGTTTGAGAGTTCAATATTTTATTATGAATTCAACCATTCACATTAGCAACATTGTTAGCATGTTATTATTAGTCCAGACATTCACAGAAGCAATGCATTTTTCAAACTTATTAATTTATGATATCCAATGTAGCATAACAACAAGTCAGCTCATGAATTGATCTTCATTTGATTAAAAATATAGGATAATGCACATTTTGTATGAATAAAAGTAAACATAAAATGCAAAACATTGTTGACATTGTTGCACAATTCAACGACAGATTATCAGGGTCCCTTTCCTTTCGGTTGATTACACTGACATGAAAAATATTGCCATACTTTTAATGATGCAATGCAACATGTACATGAGCATATTGAGTCAAATCGAGTCACCATAATCTGAGAAACCTGTTTGGTATATTTTTATCTGTGTCTAAAGAAATGCTTGAGTGAAGACTCACAATTGATATGTGCTGTGTGCAATAATTGTGTGTAGGTATGTACATATAAGTCCTTAGATGATGTTACTAAGCAGTTTGTTATTTCATTTAGGAGAATTCCACAACTGGTGGTCACAATTTAAAAAATGCGCAACCTACAAGAGCTAAATCTTTTCTTGATACAGGACAGCCATCTGTTTCTGCATATCAGACCATCTGTGAGAAGTGTACCATACAAAGTATTATATTTCTTGCCAACTTTTCCATTTAGCCTTTAAAAATTTGAGAAAGAAAGTGTTTTCATTTCTTCTTGTGCTTCTGCTCACAATTCTAAATAAATAGAATACAGTACCTATCCTTGTTGTATGTAAGCTATCAGGATAACAACTTTAAAACGACAAATGAACAATTAAATAAACAAACAAATCCAATTAAATAACTCTTGTCATGCACTGGATTTCACTCTCCTGATGTTCAGATCCTGTCTCCTCAGCTGGTCACAATAATATAAGAATATTCTTTTGCTGCTTCTACCTGTACCTTGTGTGCCATCTAGCTGCCTTTTGTACCTGTCACCTGTTGTTGTTGTTTTATTTTATTTATTTATTTATTTACTTATTTATTTTTTGATAATCAAGATTTACTTGCACCCAATCATTCAGTGTGGCTTGGTGGGAAAATGCCAGATCAATTTCCTAAATGTAAATTAACAAACAAGGC